TGTCTTTTTATTACCATTGTAAATTGAATTTTATACAACAATATAATTTCAATATACCTTTTTTGTGATGATCCAGTCAAGATTCTGGAAAGGTTCAGCAAACTGCTGTGAAAACTTGGTCTCATCATGGGATTTGTTCCTCATCTGGGATGATCTCCCTCATGATGATCCAGTCATCCTTCCAGTTTTCTGGTACTCTGATAGAGAGTTGCTGTTTCAGAAACAGAAATTTCAGGTGAATATAGCTATATAATTAATTGATGAAATTGATTTGTATTTTTAAATAAAACAAATTATGAGGATATTTACAGGAATAGTGTTTGGAAACCTAAAAGCTAAAGACAAAACCACCAACACAAGGACTGCGCACACGGGTGCTTGCTAATGAAAATAGTTTTCAATGAAAGTAAGCCTCCTTGGGATAATTTATAACACACAATATCAGGTAGTATATAGTAAGTATACATTACACCAGCTAAATCACTCTTGAGTAAATATGAACATCTCTTTAGGTTTTCAATGTGTGTTTATTTCTGCCTCTAATGAGTGACCTGACTACGTTTTGATTCTGAATGAATCCTTCTCAAAACTTGGCCAGAATTAAATTGCTGCCAGATCACCACTTGGTGGCTGTAATAAAAGCAGATTGAAACTAAAGAAACTAGTATTTATTTGACTGAGTGTTATTGAGATTGGGGTTCCATGGAGGTAAGTTGCATATTGACTACCAATGGCTATAAAATATTAATTTTAGATATTTTAATCCTTAGGTATATGTACTACATACAAACCTGAAAATCGGGAATGAGAGTTAGATTGAACCCATATATTCCAAATGCAGTCAACCACTCGAACAGTGCAGTGAGTGCATGGATGGTCTAGGAGAGAGGATACAAGACATGTCATTTTCTTACTGGAATAATATTAGAAATATCTAAAATCTAAAACAGTCGATACTATCCAATAGCCCAGTGCTCATTAAGGCCTAGGTCAGTGGTAGGCAACTTGTGGAACTCCAGATGTTGTGGACTACATCTCCACAGATGCTTTGCTAGCATTATGGCTGAAAGAGCATTTTGGGAGATGTAGTCCTCAGCAACAGAAGTCATTGGTTGCCTACCACTGGCCTAGACTGTCACCTGAGCTGAGTTATTGGTCAGAGACCATCTCTAGTTTGTCTTGCTGGTCCAGGCAATTTACTTTTCTAGGATCTACACCAACAAGTCATAATGTTGCTCAATTACCTCACTTTAATGAGAGCCAAAGATGAAATAAAGTGGAGTATGACAAAGTTTCCTATGTGTGCCTATTTATTACATTAATTTATTCATTTTGTAAATTTAGTTTCATATGTTTAATAGAAGATCTAACAAAAATAATAAAATTTGAAATCTCCCAACTGGGTAATTAAGTGGGACTAAGTGCACAAAAACCTAAAATATTTATTATGCAATGCAAATCTTATAACACCTACCTCTAGAGTCAAGTTCCCTTCAATGCCTTTAATCATCCCGTATATATGGAATGAATATACTGGAAACACAGTATATTAAAAAAAATAATAATAAGTCATATAAAGAGGAAATAAAACAGTGTATGGGTTAACATGCATGTGTCTATATAATAAACTGTGAAATGTGATCATTGAGAACGAGCTTACAAGATTAAGGTCAAAATGTCAGAGTTGGAAAACATCTCTAAGTCTGGTGAAATAAGGGTTATCTCCAACTCTGCAATTTTAGCTTGAATTGTGCCAGCCACTTCTCAGGTCACCACAGCTCACAGTTTGGTGAATAAACCCCAATGATTCATTAATGTGATTTAGTTAATCTCATTCAACATCCTGTTTATCCTCTGCCAATAGAGCAAATCTGTAGAGATCACAACTTGTACACTATTAAAATGTGGTAAAAGGATACAATGCAGCATGAAAATGAATGAAATGAAGGTTAGTGCTATTCTCCAATAGATGATGGTATTGCTGTTCCACCGAGGATTTGCTCTGTATGCCCTTATTGAATTGCAGAGCATAAATATCAGAGCACACGAGATTGTGGAGACCCCTACTACGCAATGTATTATGGGTAATTCATTTTCCTGGAAGACAAAATGTTCAGGTTATTTTCTCATTGTTCATTATAAGTTCTCTGTATAACTTAAAGGAACATTCTCACCCTACTAAGTTGTTATGGGGGTAGGAGTATATGTTTCCTTGAGCTGCTTAACCCAATTTAGAACAATGTTATCTCAATATTGGATCCCCAGCTCTAAACTTGCTGGAGTTCTTCTTGTGCCATTAGTGACCTGGCTCCATTCAATGCTTAGTACTTAAACGATTTTTAAATAGTTTGAAACTTACCAGGATCCCACATGAAAGTATCAAATTATGTAATACATAATAGTCAAATAATTAAGTACATTATTTTACTACTAACAGTTGGACAAGCTCCCCTGAAACTATAAACACTGTAGTGGGCTCTAGAGAGTATTGTGCCCAGGATTCTACTTTGATGAATATATTGCACTTACTATCGTCTACAACTGTGAACTTTAAATTTTACAAAATGCGTTTGCATTCATCCTTTATATTACTGCTATCTGATGCCCCACAAATCATAGGTACGGATGTGTTTCTTTTATTTGGAATGCATTTATCTTTTCTAATCTTTCCTTTCTAGATACCCAGTGATGATCTAGTTTAGTTTAAATATTATTTATTTATAGCAAACCAATAGTATAATATGTGGTGATATTCCTATGAGACTGTTTAACTAATGCTGCTAGTTTAAAACAGTGATGGTTAGTTTGGGCACCTCAATTATTTGTCAACTACATTTCCATGATTAACAGCACACCTAGAGATGTGTGTAGGCCATTGTCGGTTTAGATTTTTCTTTTTCTTTAATATCATCAATCAAAGCACACCGTTTTTTTTTGTTCAGTTTTGTAAAATTGTTACTTACTTTAAAAAGGACAGCCATCAGATACCTGAGGCTCCCTATCCACCCAATGCACAGAAGGGCATACTTGGTGGTTTTCTTAACAGTTGGGTTCCTCAGTTCCACCAGCTTGACCATAGCGTATATTTTAATGGCCGCTAAAAAAGAAATAAACTGAATTAATAGCAGGCTTTCTTAAACAAGACTTGTATAGAGCATTTTAGAAAATTGAAGATTATGCTAGCGCAGTGTACTAATAATCTTAATTTTAATAATGACAGGAGGCTTCGTATTTTGGAGGTAAGTTTAAGGAGTATGAGTAAGACGGTCCCTTATCTTGCTTTAAGTCACCATGGGTTAGGATAACATGCTGCTGTAATTATTAAATGGGTTTCTTGAACTATAATGGTATTAAGAATTACAATATAGTTATTGAGAAGTTCACTCATAACCAGACAATTGTTTTCTATGGTCATCTCTGTATCGCTGATACTAGTCTCTCTTTCCTTTCAGTTTGACAAGCCACAAGGATGATGGGAAGGCTGAAGAGGCCATTATTGTTGCCATGTTGGATTACGTTATGACAAGTTGGAATAAGGTTACAACGGACTTATTACCGCATTAGGATCTTGTGATGTGATGTCGCAGTAGTCAAGAGTTTTACTCTGATTGGTTCTTTCTTTAATGTTTTTTTTCTTTGCTGCTGTGGAGCTAGTAAAGAAAGGTTTTTTTTGCATTAACTTTCTTTACTAGCTCCACAGCAGCAAAAAAACAAAAAATAAAAAAACAAAAAAAACATTAAAGAAAGAACTAATCAGAGTAAAACAGAGGGTATATAAGTCCCAGCGTAGCCAACCATTTCCTCTTGACTACTGCGACATCACAAGATCCTAATGCGGTAATAAGTCCGTTGTAACTTTATTCCAACTTGTCATAACGTAATCCAACATGGCACCAATAATGGCCTCTTCAGCCTTCCCATCATCCTTGTGGCTTGTCAAACTGAAAGGAAAGAGAGACTAGTATCAGCGATACAGAGATGACCATAGAAAACAAGTGTCTGGTTATGAGTGAACTTCTCAATAACTATATTGTAATTCTTAATACCATTATAGTTCAAGAAACCCTATAATAATTACAGCAGCAGTTATCCTAACCCATGGTGACTTAAAGGACCACTATAGTGCCAGGAAAACATACTCGTTTTCCTGGCACTATAGTGCCCTGAGGGTGCCCCCACCCTCAGGGACCCCCTCCCGCCCGGCTCTGGAAGGGGAAAGGGGTAAAAACTTACCTTTTTCCAGCGCTGGGCGGAGAGCTCTCCTCCTCCTCTCCGCCTCCGTTACGCCCCGCCGGCTGAATGCGCACGCGCGGCAAGAGCTGCGCGCGCATTCAGCCGGTCTCATAGGAAAGCATTTACAATGCTTTCCTATGGACGCTGGCGTGCTCTCACCGTGAAAATCACAGTGAGAAGCACGCAAGCGCCTCTAGTGGCTGTCAATGAGACAGCCACTAGAGGCTTTGGGGGAAGGCTTAACCCATTAATAAACATAGCAGTTTCTCTGAAACTGCTATGTTTATTAAAACATGGGTTAACCTTAGCTGGACCTGGCACCCAGACCACTTCATTAAGCTGAAGTGGTCTGGGTGCCTAGAGTGGTCCTTTAAAGCAAGATAAGGGACCAAGATAAGGGACCATCTTACTCATACTCCTTAAACTTACCTCCAAAATACAAAAATTGTTTCCACACATTAATTCTAGTAAATAGTAAATGGCAAAACTGGTGACACTTACCAAACATGCCAGATAAAGTAAGGATAAAAGTCAAGACAATGTTCTCTGGGTACTTTTCACCGAGAGAGCTGGAAGAAAAACAATGACAATGATGCTTACAGGGAAATATAACGGACTGAGTAGTGACAATACTGTGAATGTATAATTAATGATTAAATATTACATAGTTACGGAACCATTCTGTCTTTGTTCTATACCATTAGGATCTTGATAACATTCCCCCACTAAGAAGACCCTGATGACATTTCTGACACTACTGACTGCACCTCGAGACATACTTATATCTCTCTTTTCTGTGTCCCAATATTTTCCAGATTATTCATATGGGAGACAGAGGGTTCATGGAGGCGTCTCAGAACTCTGAGGGCAAAGTTACTACAATTACCTGGGGAGTCCCCACTGAAGCCCAAGACTTCTAATAAACAGTCAAAGGGTTAGAAAAAGTATCATTAGGTGTTAACACAGACATGATCATGGGAATAAAAATATCTCCATGTTCTAAATAGTTTTTTCTTGCTTTAAGCTTTAGAGCTGCATGATAAATGGAAATTATTTTTATTTCCTTGTTTTTAGCAGTCAGTAAGATATCTTTACAGATAGCATATACACGCAATTATGAAACTTCCCAATGTTCTGTGTATGACCTGCTCTAGTTGTTAAGTTGTGTTAGGAAACAGTTGACATTCACCAGGATGACACATTGAACTTTCATACATGAGTAGCTCATTTAGCAGACGGAGTAGGACCTGCCAAAGATGGGGTACATTGGCGCTGTGGCAGGCTTATGCAATGTATGATCATATAATGTAACTAAACCACCATTATTTTTTGCCTAGATTAGGTGTTTTTAATAAAACTAACAAAATTGTTCAGCACTAAAATAACTGTTTAGTAGATAAGTGAGTGAGCTGGATTTTCATTTTTACTGTACTTATTGGCCCCCCGCAGTACCCCATTTAAGTATGTTTAGGTGAGTGCAGCCAAACCCTTGTTTTCTCACATTGAACTTTCATGCCTTGATCTGCATCATCACTAAAACATGTTTGTATCAACTGACATACTCCCCCCCACATGGTAATATAGTTACGCCTGCACAGAAATACGAATATTTATTTTAAATGCAACATCATTTAAAGGACAAGTTAAAATAAAATAATAATAATGACACTGATTATTTAACCTTCCTGAATACATATTATCTATTATGTCTAATATTTAAATATATATATATTGCTCATAACTGTTGCTTATTTTGCTCACTGTAAAGAATGAATAATTACAAGGGCAGAATAAATATAAAAAGTCAGGGGGTTGGTGGCCTGCATATCTCTAATCTTCTGCGTATCTTCTAATGGACAAAGCATTTGTGGAAATAATTGGTTGGTAACACATTCCCCTCCCTTTCCTGTTCATAGACTCTCTGTTTGCTCTCAAACTCCAGAATGAGTAGTAAATTCTGGCAAGTTCTCACTTATAAAAAAATAAATGGGGAAACATATATAAAGCAATGGTGGCAGTCATGAGACACTCCACATTATACTTCACTCATCAAGCTCAGCCATTGTAGTGGCTGACACCAGGATAATCCTCAGTGATAAAGAATTACAGTAACATAGCTTACCTTATAGATGGCAAAAAGGGCGCACTGTGTTTTAATAACACAGCTAGCATATAGGCAGTTGCGTATCCCATGAACGCAAACAAAGTAATAAGGATCGGAAAGAACGCTAACCCTTCACAGAGCATTTTGTGTATTCACAATTAATAAAATTCTCAAGACACAAATCAGTCTCAATAATGAGCCAAAGTCTCTTTCGGAATGCAGTCTGTAAATCTATCCCGGAATGGATAGTATCACACTTGGTGATGTCATAATCAAGCACTCTGAATGACAATTCCAATGACATCACAATGTATATGTGTTGAATAATAATGCAGACAAATGCAATAACAGTAATGCAGATTTCTGATAGTCCAATAGGTATTACACACTGAATGATGATTATATTTTTTTATCCCCACTGAGGGCATATGCATAACAGTTACCATTGCTTTCTCACTGACCACAGAAATGCAACAGCTGGAAAATAAACTTTAGGTTCTGGCTTAGAGCTGCAATACTGCAGGTCTGTGGCACATTTATAAGATGAATTGTGATATTTATCTACCAGTCAAGCTAATAAATATGAAACACAATCTTTCCTTCCATTACATGTGTAAAGTTCTGTTATGTCATAAGTTCTAAAGAAGACATACTTTAGAACTGTACTATTGCCTCTGTTGCCCCCCCTTCCTGGATCTGCAATGGGTGGGGAACAGTGCCATGGCAGATCACAGATAAGTAGTCAAACTGTTCTGAAACAGCTTGACTACTTCCAGTGGGTGGGGTGCAATGGCAATCCTGGCACCATAACTACTACAACACAGTGGCATTGTTACTTCAGTCTTAAAAATGAAACCATTAAAAGGGAGGTGTGAAGCCTTTTTCACTTGTCTTTTTCAGTTGTGATTTTAGTCCACTGAGCTCAAGATGATCAGGTGGTTCTATACATTCTATGCATTTATAGAACCCACTCTAAACTCTGTTGCTCATGGCAAATTTCAAATTATATTTTCCATGTCATGATATCAGAATATGAGGAAAGTATTAGGACACTACACTTAAAGGAACATTATAGTTGTATTCCTAACACTATAATACCCATGTCCCTAGTTCTTTATAGGCCCCCCACGTGTATAATGTAAATGAATAAAAAAATCAGATTTATTTGCCAATTTCCAGCACTGAGTCTTGCTCGGACTCTTGCAACATCATGGAGGTGGCATAAGTACCAACATGTGAAAAAAACAAAAAAGGGACACTTTAATTTTAGAGGTATAATAGGGGGTAAGGCCAAGGGCAGGGATGCCTTAGATCAGGGGTGGGGAACCTTCGGCCCTCCAGATGTTTTGGACTACATCTCCCTTGATGCTTTGCCAGCATTATGGCTGGAGAGCATTAAAGGACCACTATAGTGCCAGGAAAACATACTTGTTTTCCTGGCACTATAGTGCCCTGAGGGTGCCCCCACCCTCAGGGTCCCCATCCCGCCTGGCTCTTGGGAGAGGAAGGGGTTAAATGCGCATGCTGAATGCGCATTCAGAGCTGCATGCGCATTCAGCCGGTCTCATAGGAAAGCATTTACAATGCTTTCCTATGCACGCTTGCGTCTTCTCACTGTGATTTTCACAGTGAGAATCACGCAAGCGCCTCTAGCGGCTGTCAATGAGACAGCCACTAGAGGATTTGGAGGCTGGATTAACCCTATTATAAACATAGCAGTTTCTCTGAAACTGCTATGTTTACAACAAGCAGGGTTAATCCTAGATGTACTTGGCACCCAGACCACTTCATTAAGCTGAAGTGGTCTGGGTGCCTAGAGTGGTCCTTTAAAGGAGATGTAGTAAAAAACATCTGGAGAGCCGAAGGTTCCCCACCCCTGCCTTAGACCATTGATCAGGATCCTTTAAAACAGATACATATAAGCAGTATAAAGAGGACTACTTTCCTGATTTCCTGTTGATAAGCTTGAGCTTCCTCCTCACCTCTGGCGAGCAGAGGCTGCTGCTGCTGAACCTCCCCTCTCCTCCTGCATTAGAACAGCCTTGTGATGTGTGCGGAGATGATTAGTACACGTTGTGAGAGTGCTGCTGTTATTCTCACTTGCTTCAGTAAAACAGTTTACATTTTGCAGGACCTGACTTCATCTTCTTCAGCTGTTTAGTAACAGAATGCACTGGCCCAGCCACTACTTGTTACTGTACCTTTGAATGTTTGAAAACTATATAGGTATTCTTTTCTTACTAGGTGGTTGGGTGGACATTCTTTCCCATGGTAGCTGACATAACTGCTGAGTGCTGCTGCCTTTAGCATAGGTGGATTCCATTGGCTTTGGCTTGTTGTCAGAAGCGGACTGACCACTCAGGTAGATTGATCAGGGACAGTCAGGGGCCTGGTGGCACACTCATGTGATCTCCACAGTCAGAAGGAAGGTTGCGGGGGCTCATCATGATACAGAAGGTCCCGACAATATATCTCCCTGCAAATTATTTTCCCAGTTAATTGTGAAACCTAGCAGCATACCTGCCATTGCTGCCAGATCTTCTCTCTCTTCCTGCAATCAATAGACAGTGCTCTGTGTGAGGATGGGAGGGTACAGTGACATCACACCCCCTGCTCCCCTCTCACAGGAAATACTCACTGCATGGATGGAGGATGAGAAGTAGCAGCAGTACCCACAGATCCCTCCCAGGTGTAAGCTGAAGGGAGGAAACTAAAACGCAGGCTGGTGCAGGTAAGTAGGTTTGGGGTGAAAAGGGCAGGACAATATGTAGGACAAAAGGGTGAGACAGGGCAGAGGCAAACAGAGGGTTTGTAGAGATGTGGGACAGATGTAGTGGGACACCTCAGGGGTTTATTTTTTTTTGTTTATTTTTAAACTTATTTTTGTTGGTTCTCTTTTTATTTTTTTATGTTTATGTCTAATTTGTGTGATGTGTGTGTGTGTTTTTACCTCCAATTGGGAATAAATGGGTTTTCTATAGGGGATTTTTATTTTATTATTGCCATTACCTGGTATTGCTGCAATACAGAATTTTTTTGTACAGCCCATTAGTCCTCCACAAAAATACACCCCAGCATTCACATTCAACATAAATACACCCTTACATTCACACATAAACATTCCATACAAATACACTCCTGCTTTTACAAACATCTGCTCTACTCACTCATAGAACAATGCATTTGCACATTTATAACGTCTGTATTTTATACTCGATTTACACACACATACACTCCTACTTTGACACATAGAATGATAATATGAAATTATGAAAGGAATACACATGGTTTTTCATTAAAGCAAGAATTGCCAGAAATTCAAACTGAATTTAAATTGAATGCCTAAATAAACAAAATGAAAAACAACAAGTTAAATTGCCTGATTAAGAGAATAAACCTTACAGTGTTTGTTGGAAGTTATATTTAACATTTACAAATGTGTATTTCTGAAACTATAGTTTTGAAAGTATAGTTTAGGTGGCCAGCCCCCTGTCATAAGAGTAAAAGGTGGTTTTACTCACCTTTATTCAAGTGCCGCGCCTGCCTTGTGGCAGCTGGCTCCACCCAGCTCCGCCTCCTTGGCTGAGATCATCACATTCGATGATCTCAGCCAATCCAATGCTTTCCCATAGGAAAGCATTGGGAGGCTATTGCACTTGCGCACAGTGACGTATCAATTGCGAGGCAAACAAGGCATCTGCCTTGGGTGACACTTTGCAAGGGGCGGCAAAAAAAATCCGTCCCCAAACGCCCAAGCAGATCCCTTGTTTGCCTTGTGTTCTGGGCGGCTCATGAACTGGCCAACTGGCCACTTTTGAGCCCCTCCCCGAAGTGGGCGGAGGGCAGCAAGGCAGCATGCTCACCTGAGCTCTTCCTGCTCAGCTCCCTTGCGCGCCGCTTAAAGGACCACTATAGTGCCAGGAAAACACACTCGTTTTCCTGGCACTATAGTGGACCCCCTCCTGCCGGGCTCTGGGGAGAGGAAGGGGTTAAACTTACCTCTTTCTCCAGCGCCGGGCGGGGAGCTCTCCTCCTCCTCTCTGCCTCCTCTCCTCCTCTTCGGCTGAATGCGCATGCGCGGCAGGAGCTACGCGCGCATTTAGCCAGTCTCATAGGAAAGCATTCATAATGCTTTCCTATAGAAGCTTGCGTCTTCTCACTGTGATTTTCAGTGAGACAGCCACTAGAGGCTTTAGAGGCTTTAGAGGCTGGATTAACCTATTTATAAACATAGCAGTTTCTTTGAAACTGCTATGTTTATAAAAAAAGGGTTAACCCTAGAAGGACCTGGCACCCAGACCACTTCATTAAGCTGATGTGGTCTGGGTGCCTATAGTGGTCCTTTAATGAAGCCGGGAGACGGAATATGACGTCACTATGGCTCCCGGCATCACTAAGCGGCGCGCGAGGGAGCTGTGCAGGAAAATCAGAGCTCCCTTGCCGCCTACTCAGCCTGCGGGAGATATGGATTAACCCACTCATCCCTGCTTCAAGAAACAATCTGTAAAAATACCAGTGGACATATGCACTAGTTTTTCTAACAAGCTAAAAGGTCTCTTTTTTTCTTGATACTTTAAACTAGCGTTTCAGATCTGAATAAGCCCACATTTATTTTTATATTTTCTAATAAATATTGATGTTCTATTCATAGCCATTATCACTGCTCAGGGTGTAATTAAAGCTCAGAATTGACATTCATGTATTGCCCAAATTAGCTATAATTCAAATGGTTTTCCTAATTTGCCAAAGTTTGTGTCTATTTTTTTTTTTAAAACATATGAATTCAATTACAATTAATAGAATTCTAAAATAATTTATTAATATTTTAAGTTGTATAAGAATCTTTCAGTTTGGGGGCATATTTGGGGATTTAATGTCCACACAGCTGATGCACTAGATAGAGTTTCTGAATGCTGCCCTCCCAGCAGCCCCACTGGACCGCAGGTAAGTAATCTACTCCAGCTCTCCCAGGGAGGCTGGGTGGATTTAAATTAAAATTAAAAAAAATAATAATTTGTGAGTGTTGGGGGAAATGTGTGTGTCTGTGAGTGAATGTGTGTGTGTCTGTAAGTGTGTATGTGTCTGTGAATGAATGTGTGTGTGTGTGTCTGTAAGTGTGTATATGTCTGTGAGTGAATGTGTGTGTGTCTGTCAGTGAGTGTGTATGTGTTGGTCAGTGAGTGCGTGCGGTCTTAACAGGAAGAAGTGGGGAAAATTTAAATTGGGGGGGTGCCCGAGCACCGTCCTGCCTAGGGCAGCACAAATCCAAAATACACCACTGCTTGTGTGGCAAAACACCACAACATACTCAGAAGCCTTGTTGGACGGGATCATATAATACCTGCCTGGATGGACAGTAGATGAGCAGTATACTTACTGCTCCTGCTTCTTCCCAATAGCGCACCTCTTACTGCTGTCCCAGACAGTCAGTATAGCTGTTGAGAGTACTCTGTCTTCCTAACTTAGGTGCTGGCCACAAGCAAATTACAATTTAGGCAGAATTATCTAGTAGCCCTATGAGTTTAGTTTTCAGCTGTATTTGGTAGATAATTCTAATTTGTTATTATATTTTATTATACAACATTAGTGTAATACAGCAAAACAGAAACACAAAACACAATTGTTCCGGAACAAGTTTTCAAAACATTTTTGCAATTTTTTTTTCCAGCTTTCTAACTTGTAGTTATTTTAGACTTAAATTTCAGCTTTCAAGTAGTTGTCACTCTGTAAAGCATTGATGCTGTCCAACAGCCTGAGAATTCCTCGTCCTCGTCCCACAGGGCATTTGAAAGGTTGCAGTCCTCTAGGTTCCAGAGTAGTCCTATCATGTAGATTCTCTGACTGTCCAGATCTTTCAGGGGAGTTTATGTGATCCCTATTAGCCTGCAGCTTGCAAGAGCACAGGACCATATATCACTTTCTTCATGCCATTTGCATCTAGTGTTACTCGCATAATCCCAGTAAACTGCTCCAAGGGAACGAGAAACACTAGCTCTTGAAGGGTCTTCTCCAAGCTTGTGTCCATAAAGTTTTACAATTAAATTTTCCACATCAAATATTTCAAAACGGTTATCGATTCTTGATTTTGTAGCCAGCCACTGCAGACACCACTTATTTCTGTATGCATCATTTGCCTTGCAGTATACGGTCGGCACCATGCCAAAGGCTGGACAGACGAATTCACAAAGGTTACGGAATAGGTTATGGTAGTCTCCATTTGCAAGTTCAAAGCCCGAAACCGGTATCTGATGAGTTGATGAACTTCCTAATTGGCAGTGATCGCGAAATCCCCGAGGAAGTTCTCCAGGATCAATGAATTCATGAAAAGTTACCATTATGCCATCCCATTGAGAATAACGTACACAGCCAATCTCACAAGTGACAAACCTCTGCTCACACAAACTGGGCATCTCTCCGTGACTGAAGATGTTCAGGAAGTAAAACACACTTTGGTCCAAAACCTTTGTGGTTCATATTTGTATCAGGAGGAAAATCTTCAGGTCGTAGTATCACAGTCTTTCCAGGAGCCGCCCAGATGGCATCCCAAACCCCGGACACCTCCAGGCGTCTCAGCTCTGGGATCATATCCAGAGCGAAGAATTAGTACGCATTGCGGGCGGCTTTCTTATTCGGCATCCCAGCGAATCGCTCCGCTCTCTTCCTTCCCTAAGCAATCAGCTCCACAAAATTGCCCTTTTCTTTCTTTTTTTCCATTTTGTCCATATTTTCTTTTTAGGATTAGGTTTTTATTTTTTTTTATTTGGTGATGAATTGGTGATGAAGGCTTTTCTTTTTTCAAAATATATTTAATTAATGAAATTTGTATTTATTTATGTATTTGCCGAAAATTAGTCATCGCATCACGGATTGAAGAATGCCACCGTTTGGGTGCAGCTATGGCACAACATTAAATGTACACTATATGCACCCAGACTACTTCATCTCAGTGAAGTGGTCTATGTCTTTGTAGTTTTAACCCTGTTTTCAAGGAACAGTAATGTTTTCATTGCAGGGTTAATATGCCTCTAATGGCTGCCTTACTGGCAGCCACCTGAGATGCTTCTGCCCTAAAGAGCCCAGATGAACTTGGCTCTTTCAATCATATGGTCACAAGCTGCATGTGGTCACTAGCCTCCCACAGTTTTGCAATGGGAAATACTGGATTGACTCAGATTATCTACAATTATGTACAGACAAAAAGGCGGAACGTGATTGTGGAGACTAGTACAGCAAGGGCTGAAAGCTAAGTAATACTCACTCTCTAAACCGTCAGACAGCAGTAGGGACACTACAATAGGTAGCAGCTAAAGCTTTAGGAATACAAGTTTTTCTTTCTAACATTATAGTGTTCCTTTAATTTCCAAGTACGTTCACCTCATTTTGCTTTATTTTTTCTAGATTTCCTTTTATTAGTTTTATTATTTATACAGATATATAATAGTTACAAGACAGGTTGGCTATACAGGAAAAAAGGTGCTGAGGGCAGTGCTCAAGCGAGCTTATATTCTAACTGTAGTGGGGTAAAATAACACATAGGAGGTAAGGGTAAGATGTATTTTATGTAATGGAGTTTACAACAAAGGCTTAGATTTTGGAGGGAAAGCAGTTAAAGGAACACTCCAGGCACCATAACAACTTCAGCAAAATAAAGCTGTGATGGTGCCTGGAGGTCTCTGGCTCTAGCTCATCTTAAGGAGTTACATATTTCTCGAACTGTTTAACCCCAAAGTCTTTGATCCAGCTCCAAATCTTCCTGCCTCTCTGCCCTTCGAAATATCTCTAAACCAGAAGGCTCTTGTAGAGTTCAGCAGCTGTGCCGCTGACTGGCTGAGAGAGGTCAAACAGCTTGTATAATGAAAAGCATGCATGTACAGACTTTGAACACCATAACCACTACATTAAGCTGTAGTGGTTCTGGTGACTATAGTGTCTGTTTAAACTGTAGATTACTGGGTTCAATAAAACAACAGTTACAGCTCCATTCACAATAGTCTGAGTTTGAAGGCATTGGGTGAAGATGTAAGGAACATAAAATAAAGCTGCCAATATCACATGGGACACACAGGTAGAAAAGGCCTTGTTACTTCCATCAGCTGTCCTGATTCTCATTAGTAATATGTGTAGAATATTAAATGTTCTACATATTGTAATTTGCTTTGCTGTACCACGAGAAGTCTGGAAACATAGAAACATGGAAACATAGAATGAGACGGCAGATAAGAACCATTCGGCCCATCTAGTCTGCCCAGTTCGAAATACTTTCATTAGTCCCTAGCCTTATCTTATACTTAGGATAGCCTTATGCCTATCCTACGCATGCTTAAACTCCTTTACTGTGTTAACCTCTACCACTTCAGCTGGAAGGCTATTCCATGCATCCATTACCAACTCAATAAAGTAATACTTCCTGATATTATTTTTAAACCTTTGCCCCTCTAATTGTAGACTGTCCTCTTGTTGTGGTAGTTTTTCTTCTTTTAAATATAGTCTCCTCCTTTACTGTGTTGTTTCCCTTTATGTATTTAAATGTTTCTATCATATCCCCCCGTCTCGTCTTTCTTCCAAGCTATACATGTTAAGATCATTTAACCTTTCCTGGTATGTTTTATCCTGAAATCCATGAACCAGTTTAGTAACCCTTCTCCGAACTCTCTCTAAAGTATCAATATCGTTCTGAAGATACGGTCTTCAGTACTGCGTACAATACTCCGAGTGAGGTCTCACCAGTGTTCTGTACAATGGCATAAGTACCTCTCCCTATATAACCAAGCATTCTGCTAGCATTTCCTGCTGCTCTATTACATTGTCTGCCTACCTTTAAGTTATCAGAAATAATCACCCCTAAATCCCTTTCCTCGAATGGAATGAGGGTGTATAATAGGGTTGAGGTTCAAGGATCTTCATATGTGACCTTATATGGCCAGAGTTTTAGCTAAAAGTTCTGAAGTAATTATAGTCATAACTATATAGAGTAGTAGACAAAGGACCATGAGTGTTGTTGTCTATCTGTTCTCTGACTGAACACTGTATCTCTCTCTTCCCATGTCCAGCAATTAACATCTGCTGTTGTATATCCATCATCCTGTAACATCCTTTTTATTTTATTATATATTAGTAATTACAAGCAGAATAAAGCTAAAGAAAATGTAAGTCTGATGTATTGATATTCCTGACAGAGAATTATAATGAATATGTATATTAACCAGAGAGCCACCAAACAAGAAGTAGAAAGAAGAGGAAGTTTCACTGATAAGACACAATATTAAACTATCTGCCTAAATATCATCTACAGTGAGGGAAAAAAGTATTTGATCCCCTGCTGATTTTGAATGTTTGCTCACTGACAAAGAACTGATGAGTCTATAATTTTAAAGGTAGGTGTGTTTTAACAGTAAGAGACAGAATAACAAAAACAAAAAAATCCAGAAAAACGAATGTCAAAAAAGTTATACATTGATTTGCATGTCAATGAGTGATATAAGTATTTGATCCCCTATCAATCAGCAAGATTTCTGGCTCCCAGCTGAGCTCTTAAAGGGAGTGCTCCTAATCTCAGCTCATTACCTGTATAAAAAACACCTGTTCACAGACGCAATCAATCAGATTCCAAACTCTCTACCATAGCCAAGACTAAAGAGCTGTCCAAGGATGTCAGGGACAAGATTGTAGACCTACACAAGGCTGGAATGGGCTACAAGACCATCGCCAAGTAGCTTGGTGAGAAGGTGACAACACTTGGTGCGATTATTTGCAAATGGAAGAAACACAAAATAACTGTTAGTCTCCCTCGGTCTGGTGCTCCATGCAAGATCTCATCTCATGGAGTTTCAATGATCATGAGAATTGTGAGGAATCAGCTCAGAACTACACGGGAGGATCTTGTTAATGTTCTCAAGGCAGCTGGGACCATAGTCACCAAGAAAACAATTGGTAACACACTATGCACTGAAGGACTGAAATCCTGCAGCACCCTTCTCAAGAAAACACATGTACAGGCCCTTCTTAAGTTTGCCAATGAACATCTGAATGATTTAGAGGAGCACTGGGTAAAAGTGTTGTGATCAGATGAGACCAAAATCGAGTTCTTTGGTATCAACTCAACTCGACGTGTTTGGAGGTGGAGGAACAAGTGGACTACTGCACCGCCTCAAAGGGACGATGGACGGGGCCATGTACCATCACATCTTCGGTGAGAACCTCCTTCCCTCAGCCAGGTCATTGAAAAGGGGTCGTGGATGGGTATTCCAGCATGACAATGACCCAAAACACAAAGCCAAGGCAACAAAGGAGTAGCTCAAGAAGAAGCACTTTAAGTGGCCTAGCCAGTCTCCAGACCTTAATCCCATAGAAAATCTGTAGAGGGAGCTGAAGGTTCAATTTTCCAAACGTCAGCCTCAAAACCTTAATGACTTGGAGAGGATCTGCAAAGAAGAGTGGGACAAAATCCCACCTGAGATGTGTGCAAACCTGGTGGCCAACTACAAGAAACACCTGACCTCTGTGATTGCCAAAAATTGTTTTGCCTCCAAGTACTAAATTGAAAGGGTCAAATACTTATTTCACTCATTGACATCCAAATCAATTTATAGCTTTTTTGACACGCGTTTTTCTGGATTTTTCATTTGTTATTCTGTCTCTCACTGTTAAAATACACCTACCATTAAAATGATAGACTGATCATTTCTTTGTCAGTGTGCAAATGTTCAAAATCAGCAGGGGATCAAATACTTTTTTTCCTCACTGTATGTGCCCTTTGTCTGCCAAAACAGCTCTGATGTGATTGAGACTCTTTGTCATATTTCTCGAATCATTCCTAAACAGATTTTTCAGTGTGGCAGGGTGAAAGAGGCCACTGCCACCAGGGAGCACCATTGCTATGAAGGGGTGTACGTGGTCTGTAACAATCTCTTGGTAGGTTGTGCGTGTCAAAGTAACATCCACATGAATGCCAGGACCCAAGGTCTCCCGGCAGAACATTCACCAGATCATAAGACTGCCTCCGTTGGACTGCCTTCTTCCCATAGTGCAGCTTGCTGCCATCTCTACCCCAGGTAAACGACACACAGACACCTGGCCATCCACCTGATCTAAAAGAAAGCATGATTCATCAGACTAGACAACCTTCTTCCATTGCTTTATGGTTCAATTCTGAAGGCTCACGGCCCCATTGAAGGTCCTTTGGTGTGGAAAGGGGGCATCTGCAACCCCATATGCAACATACTATGATGCACCGTGGGTCCTGAAAACTTTCTATAATGACCAGCATTACATTTTTCAGAAATTTAAACTACAGTAGCTGAGGGGGGATGACGACGTGACGTCACACAGGGAGCGTAGCCGTACAGAGCTGAGCTGGAGTCCCACGTGGGAAAGAAGGAGTCGCCGCCCGCCTGAGTATGCGAGTGTCTGC